TAAAAAAAATAAAAAACGTTTTCAGGTTCCATATTGGCAATAGCTGATGCCATTGTTCTTAGCTTGAACTTGGTGAGCATCATCACTATGCGAAGATTCCTGATCACTCTTTCTTTACTAGGAAACGTAAGTCACTGACTGCAACGCTTTTTGCCACGACGAGACTATTTTCGTTGCAAAGTCATAAGTAATACTTGATTTCTCTTGACAGTCGTTTTTTCTCAAAGTTACTTTCATTTTCAGACAATACTTCGGGTTCCAATAATTGTGGCACTTATCAGGACAGTGGTGCTTGCTGTGCTAGGGTGTAGTTTTTATTCAAGCAAGATCGCGTTTCTTTGCTCATATACTGTTACAGATGTGTACTTTCTAACGATTATATTTTCTTCACTTGCAATCGTTTTTTATGCATGTCTCTGCCTACAGCTTCAAAAGTTGAGCCGCTTGAGCACTACTGGAATCAGAGTGTAAGCGTGTCCCAAGTTGTATTCTACACTTCTGTTTACTTTCAGAACTATACAGAGAGTTCCACAGCAGCAGTTCATCTCAACTACAACTGTTCCTGTCACCGTTTTGACAGCGAGCTCACCTCAAACAACCACACCCGTCTACTTTGGCCGACCTCCACCAGCATATCCCACCGCTCCACCTCTATGAAAAACTTATCATGGCATGTTCGAAATCGGAATAAAATACTGTTAATATTTTATAGGCTCCTATGAACAAGTGGAGTATATACCATTCCATAGTGTTAATCAATTTGAAACGTTGTCGACAACGCACATTTTTAGTTGTCTGCCTTGTGGGACAATGCCTTCCACGAATAAGTTGAAGATTTTTGGTTAAATCTAAGCAGTCCGTCATCCACAGTATCTCTACAGTGATTCTAGGAAAAAGTCGGGACGATTCAGGGCGTAAGAAACTTCTGAAACGAAAGTACCCCAAAATTGTTCAATTTAACAAAATCGCAGCCAAGACTCACCACGTTCGTCCCATTGTGTCACGTTGGCAGTTATTGCATGACCCACAATGTGGGTCAGGTTATGGTCAATTGAGAAATTAGTTTTGCACGAAGCTAAATTTTACAATATGTTCATGTTGACCAGAATCACCCAAAATGCATGTGGTTTCTCGATCTGTTTCCTCATGCACGTTTACCCTTCTTGCACATGAAAACCCATCCAACGGCTGGAGGACTATATGCCGCGGAAAGTAGAAGGATCCCGCGCGGAGAATTCAGCAGATACTCAACCTACGCATGTATTAGAGTGTGCATTTGTTGCAAATGTCCGGCGG